CAACACCACTAAATCTGTCGAGTTATGGGAAAATTTAATCCTAATTGTCAATCAGTTCTTTTATTACTATGACGTGTTACTTAGTCAGTAGACTGTGATATTTCTCCTATGAATTAATAAATTTTTGGTAGCAGTCTAGAATGGTCCATTTGAAGAGTCACATTTCTTCATTAGAGGCAGGAACTAAGTCTTTTGTTGAACTAATGAAGGGCTGCAAATATCTCGTAGATAGTGTCCCTTTGGAGACGTTAAAAAAACAAATTCTTCTGACTTATGAGGAATTTCACAGGGACTTCAAATGGTCTAATTATCTTCAAAGAATGTAACTGGGACAATGCAACATATTCACAGATATATTACATAAAAAAATACAACTATGGTAAAAGTGAGAAAGATATATGATCAAGTAAACACATGTCATCTATAACTCCTTCCGTCCATTTAATGAAATGACCCAACTGTTGGCTCCAAGCATTTTGTCTGTCTAACGCAAGCAGATTTTCACCTGTTTATGGAGGGTATCCTAACCGTAAAATACTTTACTGATAGCTAGTTCTTCTTTCCTTTATCATATTTTGTTTTCTTTAACAAGAGAGGATTTAAAATTGAGAACCTTATCAGATATCTCTTAAGTTATCAGTCCGGTAACTATTCATTATCTTTTCTTTGTTAACTGAGTTCTTAGCGCTAATGAACTGTTTATCGGCTTATTTACAATTATTTATTGTAACAACTTACAGATTCAAAAATTTAATTTATTTACACTTATTGTTTTATCTGATTACAAGTTTCTAGCTGTAAAGCTTTTCTTCTCAATTTTATGTTTCTCCGGTAATAAAATCGATGAGATTAGTCTTAAAATTGAATCTTACGTATAATTTGATTTTTGAAGACGAAGTGGAGAAACATTATTGCAATCTTCCTCACCATGTTGATTTCAAGTCAATTTTAACTTTAAAATAAGTATTGTTTACTTATTTCCAGAAAATGCGGAACGCAAACAAAAAGAAAAGATTCAAGTGTTGGTTTGTAGGGAATTGATTGGTTACAGGATTTCATCATGAGCTAACATTAGTTAGAGAACCATTGAAAAACCTGGGAGTACTGGGAAGCTGTTTCGTCCTAGTTTGGGACTCTTCATCAGAAAAGAAGATAATACTTATTTTAGTATATAATATGTTGAACTATTTTTCGGTCTAATTGACTGTGATATATAATTACTTTCTAATTGGAATAAACACTATGATATAATCAGATTACTGTATATTTACTGTCAGTAATGACACTGAGTAAAACACATTTTCTTGTATACAAAACAACTTAATCAGTGGCTTCACTAATTATTAGTTCATAATACTAATACTTTTATGAATCATAAGCCGTTTAGTAGGATATATTCGTATATAAAACTGAATCTGGTGAAAGACAAAAACATTAGCATAGTATGTGCGCCTTTTATTTTACGTATAATTTCGAACATCACAGGAGCACTGACTACTGCCAAACAAATAAACATATTAGTCAGTAAAATGAAGAACAAAGTTTAACGAGTTGATCACGCATTGATATCAGTTAAAGAACCATTGAAAACCAGCCACAGGGAGTACTGGACAGCTGTTTCATCCTAGTTTGGGAATCATCGGCACCCACTGGGGTTCGAACCCATGACCTTCCGGTTACAAGGCGAGCTCGTATACCATTCAGCCGCTAGGACTCAATTCTATGGCTCATGAATTCTAACTTCTACCAATTTGTGATTTAGCACGACCACCAATCAATGTCATCGGTGGGACATCCATCCAGGGAGTGCGTACTATCAATGATTCTCAAACTAGAATGAAACAGCTGTCCAGTACTACCTGCTTTCCAATGGTTCTCTAACTGATATCAATCCGTGATGAAATCGCAAAAAACAAAATTAATCCATACAAACCAAACTATTGAAAAAAGTTTAAGCCAGAAGGGAGAAAATTACACAATATGTTTCATTCATTTCATGGAGTAGAAGTTGCGTATTTGACTTACTGCTGAAGCTGTTCTCACTGTGTTATGTTAAACTTTACAGTACTGATGTATGAAAATAGAATAATTTCCTGAATTGAATGAAAAGAAACCAATAAAAGGAAATACTACTGATACGGTCTGCGTTTTACTTTGCTTTACATGTAAATCGAATGTCGAAAATTATGCTGATTAAAATTCTTTTATTCTATTGATAATAGAAACTATTGAATAAGTCGAATCCCGTGATAACACTTATCTCAATATTAGTGTGTACTTGTGTCAGTCTGAAATCAGTTAATTCAATACACTGAAAGAAAGTGGAAGCATATCTTCGTATGCATAGTTTATTTGCTAACGGTCACTTGGAATGTATATATCTCTAAGACAAAACGTATCATAAACGTATATGCTGGTGACGATTGGTCATTGTTTAACGAATTTTTATAAAGTAGACAGCAGCGGAATGCCCTAGAAATCTTAAAACATAAATTGTTAGCCTTACTTATTTCGTTTTAACAGTTTGACACTCTCTTTTCACTTGGGGTTTGTCAAGTACGCGATTCAATAACCTACTGCTAAGTTGAATTTTTCTCATTTACTGAATGTAGCAAATACAACTCTTAGAAATTGTTTAATGACTAATCTGGTGCCCTAAGAAATCTGGTTCCAAAGAAGAATTTCTTCACATTCACGGTTATTTTAACTGGAATGCATCTACCGAATACGTATACATATGACGTTAGTAGTAAAACCCTATATTAAAGAATGTGTAAATTAATTCTGATATGCATCAGAATATTGTTTAAGGTTATATGAGTTAAATAAATCTAGTTACGCATATAAATATCAAGTCATTAGTTAATAAGCAGTAAAATAACTGAAAAATTCAACCAAAAAACTTTGGAAGACTCAAAACTGCAAAACACACTACTAAATAACTCCTATCGTATAGCCGGTAAATGTTATTCTATAACGAGAAGGTCATCTTTTTGTTCAAGTCCACTGAAATCGGCGCCATTCAGTTAAATATGATTTACTGAGAACTAAATACATTATATGTGCGTACATGATTTTATTGGTAGCCGTTAGCATGTGAATAATATCCTGTAGGAATATTTAAACACGCATCTTTTAGATAATTGGACAATTTTTATAGTAGCTCTTTCTATTATTATGAGTATTAAAACACTTTGCGCTCAGGGAATGGAATCCTGTTTGAACAGAACTACAAGCCCGGGAGTATGAAGTAGTAAGAAGACAACAAAAGTATGTCACCTTTTTCACAATAACCCTCACAGAATTAAATATTCAGGACAACATGATTGACTTGATTGACAGTAATGTTAAAGTATTTATATTTTTATCTGAATGCAAAAGGCCTCATAGATTTTTGAAGTGAGCATCTTGCACATTCTTTGATGATACGATTAAGTTTAGTGTTAGTGCAAACTACAACCAAAGTTTGTCTTAAATTATTTTATTTGTTGCATGTGGTGTTGTTTCTTTATTTAGAAAAGCATCCTGTAGTTTCAGCTTATCTACTACTACATAATCCTGTTCCTAGCGAAATTTCTGTGTGGTCTAACGCCTTGGTTGGGACCCACTGATTTATAGATGGTCTTATTGCTGTACTCATTGTCCTCGGGTAGACGTTTATCTTCAATTAATTTGTTGAATTTATTGGTTTAACTACTCTTTGATTTCTTGAATGCTGCTACTTTTGTACTTTTAGAAGATTCGGTTATGACATCGTGACTTTTCTTGCTAACTGCTTCCATTTAATTGTGCTTGAAATGATTAACTTCATTTCCAACACTGAAGAACTTTATTCACTAATCTGTGAGTTGCTTATTTCAAGCATATTTTCCTTAGCTGATATACTGCTTCTTTAAGTTTGTCTATTAGGATCGTGGCCAATATAATTAGACATTTAAGAATGACTTCATTTCTAGGGCATCGAATATTGAAAATTCTATGATTTACGAATCTTGCTTCAGTTTGCGAAATTTTTGCAAGTTTATTGATCGCTCTTCGAACAAGAAGTCTGTAAGGCTTATTAATGTATATGCAACATTTGGCACTCTGGTAGTGCTTAATTTCATAGAATATGTTAGTTGGGTATATCACACACTGTAACTGGATTATTCACTGGATGGCGTTTTGAACGTAATTTGGCGTTCATCATAATATCATGTCGTGACTGTTATTGCACATACACTAATGTGACTTCCCAAGTATAAAACTTGGACACCGTAGTAGAGCATAACTCCATTATGGATAAGATTTTATTTTGATAAATCATTTGATTATGAACAATAGTTTGTGCTCGAAACGTCATCAGTTAATATTACTGTACAACACCGTGTGATTTATCAAAATAAAATCTTATCCATAATGACTTCCCACGATTTTTACTACCTGTCACGCTCACCGGTAAGCGGTCACATCAGCGATTATCAATACCACAAAGCACTCGCTATTTGTAGACGTTAACGTAGTATGCTGATAGTTAAAGACAATCATCTAACTTAAACAAAAACAACCTTTATTAGCAAACGAACAACCCGAGTATGTTGATATAAGGATAAAACTTGGGCACTCTGGCACAGTACAACTCCATTATGGATAAAATTTTATTCCGATAAAATCACAGTGTTATATTGTCACATTTACTCATGACGTTTCGATCACAAATTATTGCTCATAATCATATCAAGGTACCCACATACCTTTCTGGCTTCATTTATATATATATATATATATATATATATGTAAAGCAACCTGAGTGTGTCTTTTACGGGTTTTTACTCATATAGTGCACAAAGTTATAAATCAGCATTTAGCTCTAACAACATGTATTCACTGTAACCAGTTCCAGTGAAGCAACCGACCTCGACAATTTATTAACAGGATAGTCGGGAGAATGATCGACAATATTAACTGAACAAAAAAATTGACTAAAAAGTCACTTATGTTTAAAATAATTAAAGCCTTACCGGTCTGATGCAATGGCGATAAATGTAAACACACTGATAGCGATGTTAAATGCTGTGAAGAATTGTGAGAATTTACAATAAGCAACACCGAAAATCCAATCATTGTGAAGTACATAATAAACATTCGGTACAATCTGGAATACTGTCAGCAAGTCAGCTGCAGATAAATTGAACAAAAAACAGTTAGTCACTGTACGCATTCTACGATTATTCAATATAATCCACATAACTAAAATATTCCCAAATATTGAAAAAACAACAATCAATGCGAACATAAGTGTGATGATTATGCATGATGACAAACCAAAGACTTTAGGATCTGTAAAATTTTGTACATGTAATGCTAATGTAGCTGAATAGTTAAACAGTAACGAATGAGTTGAATTCTTAATATTTGTATAACTCATTGTCAAAAGTTACTGAGGTGAACCGAAATGGATTACATTCCTAATAACATGACTATATTAATTGTAACGTCTACAGTTTTTCTATAAATAGGAACAGGAGATATTCTGAAGTTTACAAGAATATCTAGGATTATACCTACTAAACAGTGCATTTTGATTGGTTGTTAAAATCATCATTTTTGACTGGTTCCCTAAAACATTTGGATATTTCTCCGGTAATCCACTCACATTTTTACCATTGGTAGTTACATATTCTGGGTTAAAATATGTAAGCGGGTTATTTATTTCACAGTAACCTTTTTTAAACTTTTGAAAATCACACTGATCGTGTATGCAGCTCCTATATTTCAACTATGAACAGCAGAATTGAGTAATCTAGTATATTATGGATTGCACAGTGGTGAAACAACATACAAATGGTTATTAATTTTCATAATATATCAAAGGGTGATTGAAGAGTTACAAGTGCAGATAGAACACATAAAACCTTTAAAAATTATAACTGTCCAAATTATTTTATTTTTTTCTGACTACTTCATCTTCAGTTACACGTTATCCTTGCAAAATTATTTTATTCTTATGAACACTTCAACCTTAGTTACAGTTATCATTGTCGAAAACACTGGGTGATATTCTCTGATCATATTGACTGCGTAAACATTGACCAACACCATAAACACAAACTTCCATGCCGTCAACGGTTCTGGCGAACACTGGACGTTAGTGGATGCTTCTAACGGAAAGTAACTATTCGGAAGAGATTTGTTTAGTTCCCTCCCCCAAACCTAAATTGCCGTATGTGAAAAACAAGCTTTCCATCGGGTTTTTCCTGCTGAAGAAACCGCTTTTTCTGTGATGAAGTCGTCTGTAAGTGAATGGTAGAGTTAAGAAAATATCTCTTGATTTCAATATATATATATGCCCTGGAGTAGTAATAATGAATAAAACTGAATGCATAGATAAAATGAATGGAATACTCAATGATCATCGAAAATTTCAAAAAATTACATTTTCAGTTGATCCGACAGAAAAAGTGGAGGAACAACTAATTGAGTCACTAAAAGAACTTAAACAACAAAGTAGCATCATAGAGGGTTTGTATGAATCTCTAAAGCATACTGGCACGGTTACACAAAGATTATATGGACTACTAAAAGTGCATAAAGTCGGTTCGCCCCTTCAACCAGTGTTTGACATGTGTAATTTCCCATATTATGCTACAGCAAAATGGCTAGTGAATCTCCTAAAACCCCTGCATAATGAATTGGTAAAGCATAGCGTAAATGGCAGTTTTAAATTTGATGTGGTTTTGTTCTCTGAGCTGGATAGTTAGTTTGCGAAGCTTTCATCACCTTACTGGGTGACATCTTCAGCGCATACTTCAATTTGAAGTATGCGCTGAAGATGTCACCCAGTAAGGTGATGAAAGCTTCGCAAACTAACTATCCAGCTCAGAGAACAAAACCACATCAAAATTATCCACCTGAGCTACAAATCTTCTCTATCATATCTAAAGTTTTAAATTTGTTAGAAAAACAAGAGATCTTAATGTGAGGGACAAGTCTGTAATATCTTTTGATGTATCCTCCTTGTTCACCAACTTACTGTTAATGGAGACAGTGGATTTTATATGTGAGGAGATTACTACACGAAACACAGACATCGGGATTTCTGCATCACCCTTGAAGGAACTTATTTTAAGATGTACAATGAATGTACTTTCTTGTTTAATAAGGAATATTACAGAAAAACTGATGGTGTAGCTAAGGGTTCCCCATTAGGTAAAATCCTAGCTACTTTTCTCCTCGCTAAGTTAGAGAATGGATCACTGAAAGGAGAAATTAATGACTTCGATTTCTACTGTCGATATTTGGATGATACATTTCTGGTTATGAAATACGAGAATGATGCAATGAACATCCTTGACAAGTTTAATGATGCACATTCAGCAATAAACTTTACCATAGCGAAAGAAAGTAATGACAGTATCTCATTCCTAGATGTCTTTATGGCACGGAAAGAAGATGGCATACTAAGAAGGAGTGTGTATAGGACACCTGCAACAACAGATCAGTACACTCATTTTTCCAGTTTTTACCTTTGAAATATAAACATAACTTGGTAGGGTGTCTGGTTCAGTGAGCTAGGTTAATCTGTTCAGACGACTGACTCAATGAGGAGCTTAAGATTATTAGAGAATTACTTAGAAAAAATGGCTATCCAGATAAATTCATTAAGAAAAATATGAATTCAACACTTAGGAGAGTCAGTATGGCATAGTTCTAAAAAACCCATTGTTCATAAAACCGGAGTTCCTCGGTGACAACATCAGAGAAATAATAACACAGTGCCTGAAGAATGCAGTGAAAAGAGCTTATTATGCAGCAGAGGGACGTTGTCTCTTCACAAACACCCCTATTCTACGTTCAAGAGATAAGGATAAACTACCTTCTCTATGTGTATCTACCAGTTTGACCGGAGCTGCGGAGCCAGCTACACTGGGTTCACAATTAGGCAGGTTCATCATCGTATTTCCGAACATCATCCAACATGGTTAAGCAAGGGACAAACAAGATCTATTCGTAGCTCTATTTTAACACACCTTATGGATAGTGAGCATAAGGTAGACGTTAATACTGCATTTAAAATTATTTATCGCACTCCTACTAATATTAATTTTGCTTTACGAGTTCGTCTTCCAAATACAGCTGAAGCAATAGGAATCCACCTGAAAAAGCCAAACTTGTGTGTTCATAAGAAATTTGTACAGTCACTTTCCTTACCTTGGCCATCGTTAAGTGAATGCATAAACCGGACTACTACTACTCCCTCTAAAGCTTTAAAAATTATAAAAATAATAAAAATTGTAATTGACTGAGTTATTTTATGTTTCTGACCACTTCATCTTTAATTACGTGTTTTCCTTTTAAAATTAATTTACTCTAACTATTTCTACCTTTTAAATGTATATTGATCTCTTGATTTCATTATATTTCCGTATACATATGGTCCTTATACAATGACAATGCCTCCGTAAAGTTGTTACACCTAGAATACATCCTCTTCACGATTCCTAAAAGGTTTCGCTATTTAACATGTCAAAATATAAAAATTTACTGGTGGCATATATTCACTTATTTAGTTATTTATTTATTACCAGATATTTGTGTAACAATTCATTTAAGACTGCATCTTATTTTAACTAACATATGTGAGCAGACATATTTGTTTATCGGAGTAAATTTTTCATAGATGCTTCTAGCTAGTGGCTGTGACAAACCCGAGGGAAAAATCCCATTTGAAGGCAGAAACTTCATGACTTCAAGTATTAAAACTGTGCGTAATTAACGTTACATACTGCTTTTAATGACGAGAAATTGAAACGTTGTGGGAAGTCTACTACCATCTGGCTTTCAGATGCCAACCACTTCTCTCTATAAATGCTCACACTTGAAACTTGATGCGTAATCAAAAATAAAATTACCATGGAACTTTTTGATTCCAGGTGCAACCTAATTCAACTTTGAGCTCCTTAAATATCCTCTTTCATCAAACATTTATTGTTTCATATACACCTTTTATTTTGTCTCAAGTTTCGCCATGGATTGACATCAGTTATCGAACCACTTAACATCAGGAAGTGTTGTTTCGTCTCATTTTGAGACTCATCGACAGTTCACACCCGACAGGTTTGTTTTAAGGGACTGGAGTTGACGTCAAATAATTCTTTTGACTAATACTTTTTTAAAAGAATTCAACCGCTGGTTTCTTATGTTCTTCATAAGTTCAGGAGAAAATATTCTACTGGATGACAACGAATATTGAAGCGTACAAACACAAATCGAATAATTGCCCCAAAATAAGATAACGCAAACAGCAGAATTTATGCTGATTTTTAAAGAAAAGTGTAAAATTGCTGCAGTATGTAAAACATATGAAGTCCCTCTTCCTCAGGTAAAATCATCTAGAGATACGCAGGACAGATTTTGATACTAAATGATGGAATGCATCAACTTTTATGAACATTACACCACGTTATCTTTTAATAATCGGAGTAATGATTAATCAACTACGTTGTCAAAGAGGAAACCAATAAAGTAATATAAAAGCGAAAATATTCTATACATCGTCTTTCCACTACTGTTTAGAAAAATAAAACTGAAACTAAAGGAGAGATTAAATAAAAAACATTTTAACTGATCCGTCATTCTGAATACCGAGAAATAACGCAAGTGTTCAAGTCAAAATCCCCTTAAGCTATTTCGAAGTGAATTTCTTTGATTGTTTCGAATGCATCTTCAGTATGATCACCCAGCTTCCCGTAAAATGGTAGGCTAGCGATCTAGCCATAGACACAGTTCACTTGACAAAAGGTAGATTTTTCGTAATTATGTTCTAGAAAGGGAGTATTCTATTCTCTCTGTTGAACTTATTTGAACGTCTTTTTCACCGAGTTTGTGAAGGTTACAGGCAAACAGAATAAAAGGAAAAGCACACAAATAGCTTAATCACCGAATCTTTGTTCATCAAACTGACACGCGTTAAGTGCAGAATGAATGATGCGACATTAGCGCTGGGTAAATGGAAAGCCCAATTACCAAAGGAAATTAAACAAGGATAGGATAATACAAAACAGTTAAGTATGACGCGTGTTGAACATTATAAGATTATGAGCGATAAATTATACTCGAAACACCATTTTCTTAAATACATGATATCACAGTGTGTCGTAACAAATAAACCTGTTTAATATTTTACGCAAGCATCTATTCATAGCGCACAATATTTTAGACTTACAAAAAGCATTACGAACACCACTGTCTAGTTCCGAATCGGTAATAGGTAGATGGAAGGAAATTTTACTATCTGAAAATATCTAAACACTGATTCCTTTTGAATCAAACCCCTATTCTATAAATCCACACCATCTGAGATACTAAACATCTAATGCCAATTATTATTTAAGTGAGATGACAGTAGAATAAGTTAGTGGTATTCCTGACTGTCTAATCCAATTTTCAGACGAATAATCGTAAAGGTGGGAAAACTGTTCGATTAGTGAATGATAGACAACGTGAGCTTGGTAATA